GGGGCCGCCCGCCCTGCGACTCCGCACGGCCCCCTTCTCTCTGGCGCCCCCGGCTGCACCCCCTCCTCCCCCGTGCGCCCCGACCCCGGAGGGTGCCTACCCCAGAGCTGCTGCCAGGGCCCCGGGGGGTGATGCGGTCCGCGCCGGGGTGCCCTGTGCCGGCCCGGCCTCATCAGGATCGCTCGGGGGTCCCGGCGGGGGCCCCGCTCTCCTGGCTGCCAGGATCCCTGCGCGTGTCCGTGCCCCTCGTGTCCCTCGCTTGCGCCCGGGGCTGGGGAGTGAAGTTGTCGCTTGTCCTCAAACTTGCTTCTGTGGCCGCCAGCGCTGTGGGCTCCCTTCCCGGCCTGCAAGGGCTTTAATGGGAGCCTCGGGGTGCACCCCCACCCCGTCGTGTGGGCTTACACACCTGGCTGAGAGTGCGGCCGGACTAGGCATTTGTAGTAAACGCAGCACCGTGCCTAGACTCCTGGTGGCTCTGGGCAAATTTTTAGTATCGGGCTCCCTTTCGCCACAGATAATAATGATGATAATGATTATTTTCACCACTTTCAAGCCTCCCTTCTGTCTGGGCCCTGGGCAGCTGCCCGGTTTGCTGATGCCTGTGTCTGGCCTTGAGTAAATGTTTCTTGGGAAGCACGTTTCTTTCCTGCTGCGGCTGTGAGGGGGCAGGGTAGGGTGGGAGGCCGTGTCTTGTCGTATAGCTGAGCCTGCTGATGCTCTGGATGCAATGCTTGTGCCCTGGATTTCCATGGGGAGCCACTTCTTCCCCAATACTTGTTTAAATCATTCCTTCTTTAAGTTGCGGTGGGAGTGCAGGCTTATGTATTTATTTATTTTATAATCTTGATAGTTTGTTTCTGAATATCAAGTTCCGATACTCCGCACTTGTCTTGCAGAAGAACTTCACGCTATGCCACTGTTGTGTTTTTTGAGGAGTCCCGAAAGACTTGTGATCGATCTTTCAGACAGTTTCATTCTGTCTTCCTTATTCATTCCCCAGGTTTGGGGAGAAAAAATTACTAAGCACAATCTGAAGGTATCTTCTCTAATGCAGGCTTCCCATATCTGATTGAGAACCTTCCCGTATCTAATTAAGTTAATAAGTGACCACTAGGTTTTTGGTATTGGATTTTGGGCTAGCTGTGAAAAGAAACAATGTTTTGTGTGTTTTTGATTCTACGTTGTCATAAAGTCTTTGCTGCAGCCTTTCTGGTTGTTTTCCAGGTGCTACTGTGAGGTGCTTATTGGGAGAGGAAGGAAGGTCTTTTGACTAAAATGAAGACTGGGAACCATGAGACAGGTTCTGTTCTTGGCTCTACCTTGCTTTGCCTCATCTTAAATGGACAGTTACTTATTTCACAGGGTGTTTAATCGTCTGTGAAGAGCTTTTACAGCTCCCTAAACAAAAGACAACTTGAGGTTTGAAACAAAGTATTTTCATAGGTGAGAGGAAGGTGTAGAAAAGCAGATTGTTAGATCCTTGTTGACAAAGTACATTTAATTCTGGTTAGAAACTTGTGAAGAAGTTCGGTTGAAGTCTTCTAAATTCTAATAATTTCATGGCAGTTAGAGCTGCTATAGAACTTGCTGTCCATAAATCTGTTTAAAGATTACTACATCATTAAGAGTGTACTTGCAGCCCTAATATTCTTTGACAGCTCAGCTTGATGTTCTGGTAATCCATTTTATCTTGAGACCTGATAAACCTGCAATATCATCTGTAATTTGCCTGTAGATCTCAGGAACTGCATCTGGTGACTTTCATAGTAGTTACTTAATTTGTCTCCTATTCCTTGTTGTCTTGCTTTAAAGAGCTTGGGAGGTGGATGGGTGTGTGTGAGTAACTTTTGGTGTTATCAATTGCATCTTGCTGACTGTGGCACTGAGCATTTAAACGTAAAGGACAGTAACAAGATCAATAGAAGAACTAGAGGGTAAACTTGACCATGTGGTATAAAGCAGCTACTTCTGTAAACGGAGGGGAAAAATAGCTTCCTTAAAGAGGGAGTGTTCCAGGGAGAGAGGCTGTCAGACTATCTCACTGGCCTGTAATACAAAGGGACACAGAATGATCTCTGGTGTATGCATCAGTGATGATGAAAAAAGGAGATCTCCCTTGTGTGTCCACGGGAAAGATAGACCTCAGTCCTGCACAATGTGTTCTGTGTTTTGGGATGGGAGGGGAATAAGGGAGAGATGGGAATGTTCTTGGCTTTTATTTTGTAGATGAAAGTGATTCAGCCCTTCCTGGCTGTGAGGAGAGCCAGGTGTGAATTTGGTGTATGTTGTTTTTTTCTCAGATCTGCAAACGCTATCAAGATGCCTGCTGCCCCTCAGAGCTATCCCAAACTGCTGTAGTCTGGGTGGTTTTTCTGCTGCTGGTAGGAGGTATTGGGTGGTTTTTCTGCTGCTGGTGGGAGGTATTGGCTAGTTTCATTACCGTAGTTTGCGAGCCTTGTGGTAGTAGTGAAACTGAAGGTCACTTTCATTCTGGTGCTGCTTGTCAGAGGTACAAATAGAAAAGGTGTTCAATTAGTTGCTTGCTTACTGCTACTGCATCCTATAGAGATGCACTTTTGTTGGCTAGGTAAAAGACCAAAGGCAGAAAGAAGCTGAAGGTTTAAGAGAATAGGGGACATTTTACCTGTTCCCAAGATTTAAGCTGAGGATCAGTCCAACGATACTATTTGGAGTTCTTGGTGGATGTAGGAATTGACTTCAAATAAGAGGTATACTAGCCAGAATCAGCTACAAAGGAGCCCCTTAGTAACTCTGACAGAAATCCCTAAACCAATCTTTCTATTAGCTCGGTTTCTACAAAGGGATTTGCCTTGTCTAATGGATCTTCCCTTTTTTATTCCTTACTTGGAGGCCTTTGCCTTTTGGCTGTTGGATGTCCAGTTACTTTTCACACACAGAGTTAATGGGTTTAATGTTTTGTGGTTTATCTGCACTTGGGACATGAAGTAATTGTATATTTGACTGTAGTTTATTCTGCAATAATGACATAGTAACTCAACTTGAAACAGTGGTAATTGCATGGTAACTTGCAATGGCATATATTGCCTTCTGGTAAAGAGCCACTTGCAATTTACCCCTGAAGCACATGCTTATAAACTAAATATACTAGTTCTTTTCAAGAATCATATAAACAATCAGTAGCCTTTTAGTCAATGAGTTACCATAAGTTGTCTTGACAGGCAACAATCTCTTCGCCTTGTCTAAAAATGTCATGAGTCAAATATTTATCACTATGGAATGTTATGTCTCTACAAATTCAGGTCAGGAAATCTAAGAGTTCCAGCTATATTCATGTAGCTCACTTGTACTCTTAACTTCATGCTGCTATGAATTGGCATCTTGGAACAGCTTAACATTAGGTTATTCTCTGTTGCTCACTAAGTCTGACAGCTCTAGAGATGGTGCTGCTTGGCAAATCACAGAGGATCTTGCAGTTTGCCATTGTAAAAGTACTTGGTCTTGTCTCTCCTTTTTCTTTTTTTATTTATGCCTGCATAAAGGGATCACCTTACAAATAGGCAGGGTGGCTTTAGGTAGCTCTAGGATGACAGTCAGTAGTGTGTAGATTTGGATCTCTGCAGTTCAAGAAGAGTGTAAGTTTTTTGAAAGGGTGTGCTAAAATGATTCAATGGTTTGTGGCTAAGACACTGAGAGTCTGAAGCAGCTTAAATTCTACAGAAGAGGGAAGACAATGTAGACATGGGGCTGTAAACTTGAACATTTCAGGAACATTTATAAATATGGAAAAACAATTTAGCTTATGAAGGTAATGGGAGAAAGACCACTTGCCTGAAAAAAAAAATAGACTAGATATTAGGAAAACAAGTCTCTTAAATATATTTTTTGGGCGTTGGGAGAATATTGTTTGAAGTACTACTACATAGTTTGCTGAAGTCATTAAAAATGCAAAATGCAGATGGTTAGTCTGTATTGATCCCGCTGCTGTGGTTCAGTGGTAGAGTCCTTGTTTGCCATGTAGGAGACCTGGGTTTGAATCTTGGACATGCATATAACTACAGGTACTGAACATCTGGACTTGGTTTGGCCTTTGGATACTGTCTCAATGTGCTATAAGGGGGATGGAAGGTCTGGGCGGCCTCCTCCATACTCCTGCCTAGACATATGCATTGAAGGTCCTGGTGCCCTCTCGTGCATACACCATGATCCAGAAGGATTGACGGTTGCCTAATATCTAGATCAGGGGTAGGCAAAGTCCGGCCTATGGGATGGATCCGCCTGGCAGTGGACTCTATTTCCCAGCTGCCCCTGCCTGCATGACTGAGGCCAGTCTCCACGGAGACTGGCCCGAGCTGTGCTGGCAGGGCAGGGGGCTGCTCCAGAGCCACTGGGATCTTGTGGTGGGGGCCAGAGCAGGGCCACGATCTGCAGCCTGCATGGTCTGGGCGGGGGTGCACAGGCAGTGGATTGTGGCGCTGCCCCAGCTTGGGACCAGGCTGTCATTACTGCAAGGAGCTGGGGCAGAGCTGTGATCTGCAGCCTGCATGTCCTTGCCCAGAGCATGCAAGCTGCAGATGCAGCTCTGCCCTGGCCCTGGACCAAGCTGCCCTTGCCTCAAGATCCCAGTGGCTCTGGAGCAGCCCCCTGCCCTGCCAGTATGGCTGGGGCCTGTCTCAGCACAAGGCTGCGATTGTCATGATCACAGCGCAGCTGCAGCTGGGGTCTGCATGGAGACTGGCCCTAGCCATGTGGCTGGGTAACTGGGTCCAGCTGCATCTGCCATTTTGCCCACCCCTGATCTAGACTGAGAAAAAAGCTAGGAATTACTCCACCAATGTTTCAGACCTACTCTTTGAATGTTGCTACTTTTGTCATCTATGCTCCAGAGCAAACATTGTTTAATGATCAGTAGTGCCAT